TTCTCTACCGCCGCGAATACTCCTGGACGCAACAACTATATAAAAGAAAATTAAAGTTGAATTGAAAATCTCTAGCATAAAAAGCATTCTGTCCTTTGCAAAGTTTAATCTTTGATGCTATAACCCATTCGACAGAAGATTCTCTTATAAAAATTGTGTATTAAGCTTGCCATGGTTTTAGAGCACATAAATTTTTTTTTAATACACATCTTTCGTCTAAAAAGGCTTGGTTAGAAAATATAAAAAATGATATTTCTTTATTAGATTTAAATAAGAATTTGAATTTTAATAGAACACAATGGAAAAAATGAATTCATGTAGCCGACCCCACGTAGTGGGACAAAAGCTTGATGTTGTTTTTGGTGTTGTTGTACACATCTTTTGTGACGATTTAAATTACTACCTCTAACACCACTTAAGTTTCATTTAGGACATTTTTTTGCTGCTTTCTAAAGCAACTTTTAAATACAAAAATATTCAAAATTTTTGTAACTTTTTATACTAAAAAATTATTTTAAAAAACAGTAAAAAAACGGTTTGAAATGAAACCCTTCTAAAAGAAACAATGAACTTTATATTATAGATATCCTAACTTAATGAATTTATATAATAGATAAATACATAATATTATTTATGATTTTACATCTTAATAATTTTATAAATCAAATGGGTTATAATTAAGCTTTAGTTTATTAAGTTCAATCTAATTACTTAATTGTTATTGACATATAATTAACATAAACTATTAAATTTAATGAAAATGTTGAAAATTAGGAATAAATAAACTTATTTAAAATATTTACGAGTAGGACAGTAAAGATGAGTAAATTAAGCACATAACTATGGGGTCGCGCCCAGTTGAAATGATTATACTAGTATTTGAATAAATTAAAAGTGTCTTATTCATCCTTAAAATCGAGGATGATCATATTACAATAATCAACAGTTGGATTGAAATTTGAAGGTCGGATGTAAGTCCAAAGTCAGTCCTTGATCAGGCAGAAATCCGACGTTAGTTGGTGGTCAGGTAAAAGTCCAACGTTCGTCGGTAGGCGGACGAAAGTTTAGCGATAGTCGGTGGCCGGCTGAAGTTTGGCGGTGGTCGATGAAGAGTTTAGTTGCAAGAGAACTATCTTCCTCCTCTCCTTGCGTGGGTTCCCTTCCATGAGAAATAAGGGATCTAATTATACTTTTTTGAGAGTGATATGACTAATAAATAGGAGAGAGATAAAGGGTAATTTGTAAAAGGTTTGAACGAACGGACGACGTTGAACCCCTTAATTATGGATAATTTACTAAGCACTTGAATGTCTTAATGATATCATAATTTGACAATCTTGGGCTCATTGGATTCGTATAATCATGCCTCTTCTATAAGTATGTCACGTTTGGAAACCATTTGGCACTCAAAATTATAGTTTGAACCTTCTAAATGTGTTTTGGGTTTTTGATTTGAACTAATTTGTGCTCAGATTAGGTCCAATCTTGTGTCGTTGGGTTTGCATTTTTGAAACGTTGTTTGTTGAAATCAGAGTTCATATTGCACCGGATTTAATTTCGAAATTTTCCAACTTGATTTTACCTCGAGATTCATGTCCGATCAAGATATTTCCTTGATGATATATCAGCTATAATATTTTAGAAATTAGGTTAGCAACCTTAACCAAACTTGCTTTGCCTCCTTAGTCAATCCTCATATACGACCCTCCTTTAACTTATTACCTGCTAAAAATATATAATCAATATTGCAATTATTGACATCATAATATTTTCTAAATTCCTCTTATAATTATCTTATTGCTCCTCCCTTTTAAATAAATACACACATAGTGGTGTCAAAATTGGATTGTCAGTCGGGTTTTGGTCGAACCCGATATTGACATACAACTGTTTGACACAACCCAAACCTGATCCATTTTTAGAAACGGGTTAGAAATTTCAACCCGGAATTGATTCTTCAGGTTTTTGGGTTGACCTGACCCAATATGAAACTACAGGTGCAAAACTTCGGACGCTACAACATACGAGCATGAGTGCAGGACTTTAGGCAGTGCGCGGGCGCGAATGCAAATGTGCAGGCTAGGGCACTAGGCTGTGTGCATTGTGTGGAACTATGCCTGCGCAAGTGCGGGCAGCAGGTAGAGGCACAATCGCACTGGACTTCAGGTTCGACATTTCAATCTTTCAGGCTAGGTCGCTAGGGCTATGTGGCCGTGTGAGTGAATGGCTGAATGTGACAGCGGGCGCATGAATGCTAGACTTCAACCACTATAGCATGTGAGAGGGAGTGCGAGAGCAGGGCGATGCCTAGGCAAGGGACTTGAGTCAGATTTGGGTCCACTTTGAGTTAGCTGGTTGATCCAAACTCTTGTCGATTTTTTAAATGAGCCTAAATTTGGAACTCGAGCCCAATTTGTTTGTCAAACAGATTGACCCTAACTCAAAATTTTTAGGTTAGATTTGAGTTAAATTTTCGGGTCATGTCAAATTTTGACACCCCTATACACATAGAACAATTTTAAATTAATCTTTATTATTGAATAATTATGTTATCACTAACCTTTAAAGTATTTAATTTACTAAATGATATAGCATTAAAGATTGATAATCATTTTTTCAAATTTCAACATAACTTATATTTATTTTAATCTTATTAATTAATAATTATAACTCTTTAAATATAACTTTAAAATTGAGCATATTACCCTCCCTATTATGACAAAAACGGTTCTAATAATATTCAAAATAAAATTTCTAATGTCTTTTATGCACATAACTTGTCCCTCCAACTACTACAAAACACCAAAATATCCCCTCTTGATCTATTTCTACTTTCCACAACAAATCCATAAACCCATAAGGTAGAGCTGCGAGAGTTAAGGTACTTTCTCTTTTATTTTTCAATTATCATCAATTCATCTCCAAGATTTGAAAATCATATTTTATCGATTACAAATAAATATGTTTAAATCAGACCTAAAATGATCCTGATTAATATAGAAATACTTAATGCATTCTTCTTACATGAAATAAATATGCCTTAACCTATGATGCACCGACACTTCTCCTCAAAGAGGCGTGCAGTGTCCGACACCGTGTCCGACACGACACTGCCTTCACAAACAAAGCCTAAGGTTTCAATTGGGACAACGTTTTTATTGTTTTATAAGCTATTTTTCAGTCCAATTTTTTTTAAAAGCATAAAAAATAATTGTCTAAAACTATTCCAAACTAAGCCTAACTAAGATTTATAGGTATTAAAATATCTGGGTAGATACTAATTGATATTTGAGGGCTTGAGAATCTTGGTATGAATTACTAGTTTTAAAATTAATAATAAGATAGGATGATTTATCCTGCTAGCTTTTTTATTAAAAAACTTTGGGCATTTGTTTCCTCTCTTCGAGAGATTTTCGTAGGGCTAACTAACTAAACTAATAACCATTCAAAGATAACATTAATAGATTCATCAGTTCCCATAATTCAGATCTCATTAGACGTAAAATTTAGGCATTTTTTTTTTTTTATGTAGTGGATGAATTCATTACAACTAGACGATACTTATGGCTATATGTTCATTGTTCTCTTAAATATGTTTGGCCTCCCAATTACTTGAGTCTCAATTCACTTCTTTTGAATCACTCCTACATTTGTACTCAACTTGAGAAACTGTACACAATCAAATGGGATTTTTTTTATGCTAAGGAATCTAGGCATTAATGACCACTTAACTAGTTATTACTACTAATTACATCAAACATTAATCATAACTTAAATTACTTAGACTTTATTTGGTATAGTTTTCTTACTATTTTTTAAATCAGTTTTTTAGTACATTTTTTTTAAACTAAAAAATTTATACTAAAAAGTTGCTTTAGAAAGCATTAAGAAATGTGTACCAACTGAAGTCGTAATTTATAGCTATTAAAGTTAATTAAATAGTAAAAATAACTACTATAAGCAATGTGTTACTAGTAATTAAATAATGGTCTTGAGAAGTGAACTCGAGTCCTATAAACATGAAACAATCAAATCTCAGAAATATTAGTTGGATATTTGAAACCGCTTAAGTAAAATAAAACTAAACTCTTATATATCGATGCATCTTTTAGTGTAATGGTTAAAATTTAATTAAGAAACTCCACAGTTAAGTGTGCTCATCCTGGAGAAATTCAAGGATGGGTGACCTCCAGTGAAATTACACAAACAGGGCAAAATCATAAGGCCTTAGATCAAAGCGGTTAATATCTCAATATTTAAGAGTTTAGGTTATTACAAATAGTATCAGAACAATACATCAACTAAAAAATGAGAATTAAGTGCCATATAAGACAAAATGTTACGCAATGGGAGTCACCTCTTGAACCATGTATGAGACAAAATGCTATGTTATGGGAGTCAACACTTGGAACTTATAAGGGCTACCTCTAGAATCTCATCTGACTAATGGATGATTATGAAATAAAGATACTGACAAGGGCATCAGTTACTTAAGTAGGGGAAATTGTGAAACCCCTTAAGTAAAATAAAGTTAAACTCTTAATCATCGATGCGTCTTTTGGTGTAATGATTATAATTTTATTAAGAAACTCCGCAGTTAAGTGTGCTCATCTAAGAGAAATTAAGGATGAGTGGCCTCCTATGAAGTTACACAAAATGGGCAAATCTATAAGGCCCTTAGGCCAAAGCAGATAATATCTTGATAGATAAGATTTTGGACTATTATATGATACAAATTGAAAAATTAGAGGGATAAATAAAAAATTGTGCTAGAATATACTAATAAAAATTATATCAAGATGAACTTGAAGCATTAAATTTGCCTTGAGAAGTGTTGCATATAAAAATTTTATATAGCACTAATCAAAAAGCAAATTTCATGATTTTCAAGCTCATCTTGATATGATTTATAGCATAATTTCAGAGGAAATAATGAGAACCTGCAAGTCTTCTTTGGGCCGACCTTTTGTGCTGAGCCTCTTCCAGAAAATTGAAAGATATTTAGCTAAAGAATGAGCAGCATCTATTGCCAAATCATGTAACAGATACATTTTTTTCTACATAATCTGTTCCTAAACCTTTTTTCCTCCAGAGAAGTAACAGAACCACTAGAAGAAATTATTTTCATGTCAATAAACTTTACATAATAACACTGTACAATGTGCTGTAACACTTATAGTTAAAAATCAAGCTTCCTACATTATTCATTCTGCGAGGTCATTTGTAGCATCATATTTTAAATTGAATAATAAGTTTTCGAGGAAAGAATCACATACAGGATCAAAGCTGCAAGGTTTTAACATTGCAAGGAAGTCAAAATATAATGAAGTAATTACCATGCAATGGGATATGGTGATGCATTGCGTCGGTACCTCTGACGTAATTGTTTCTTATCAACACACCATGCTTGAAGAAAGGTGCTTACCTGTACAGAAACAAGGAAGAATAAATCAGCGAAGTACATTATTTCCGGCACTTTCCTCCACAAAACCGTATTTAATAATCAACAAGAAAAAAAACTATTTATTACAAAAGATATCTCTTAGGCCTCATTTTATTGCTTGGAATTACAAAGCATGTTTTTGAATATAATAAAATTGTGAATAGAAGCTAGTTTAGTTGATAAAAACTTTAAAAATTACTGTTACTGTATTTAGATCAATTTCTGCTTACATGAAATATGTGCTTCGACACTCAATTTTCCTAAAAGACCAACAACAACAACAATAAAAATTATAATAATTGCTGAGTTCATTATTTAGATGGCTCTTGTTACAAATCAATAATGACTCATGCTTCACAAAATTCTCTCAAAATATCTAAAGATATAAAGATTTTTATCTCACTCAAATACTACAACAAGAAGATCATTATGCCTTTATCTCACTACGTGGGGTCGGCTACATGAATATTTTTTCTTCATTGTGTCTTATAGGTGTCAAATTCTCATTTAAATCTAATAAATAAAGGTCATTTTTAATACTTTCTAACCAAGTTAATTTTACAATCAAATAAATGAAAAAAATAAATTTAATTGTTTTATAAAAACATGTTTGCTATCCTCAAGCAATTAAATGAACCCTTGTGTAAAACATGCACTTAATTTAGCGTACATTGCTAATGAGTTTTGCTCCAAACCAAGCAGAATCCGCTCCATGTGAAGGGGGAAGGACTTTTATTCCATCAGATATTGATGGTTCAAGAAGTTTGCGCAGTTCATTTTCCAATCTCTCTGAAAAGGATACATATCAAACAGGCAAAAATAAGTTCAAAATATCATTCATTACACTGCTCGGGAAATATGCAAGCAATTTTCATCAGCATACCAGGTAATCCTGGCAAGCAAGCAGTTCCACCAGTTAAAACTACAGTTTTGTACCAGCCATCGTCAATTGCTATTTCTGAAGCAGCACAATGGTCAACACAAAGTGCTACGGCTCGATGCAACCCCATTGCACGCCTGTGGAAAAATGAACTGAAATGAGAAAATTTTGAATCCCCCAAGCCTAGGTTAAATCATAATAAATCTCTGAATACGAACCACCAATTAAAAGAAACAGATAAGCAGTGAACCTTAGCTAGATTTTAATAATACCAACACTTCAATCAAATTGAACTAATTATTAGCTTTAGCGAGTACGACAGATCACCATCAGAATATTCACAAGGATCCGTATAAGAAACCCGATTGAAGTTACCTAGTTTACTCAGTGTAATGAACTGGTTTAGACTGGTTGGTTCAATTGAACAGGCCAGTTTTAATTAAAAGCGCAACAGGGACAAAACAGAGGCGAACAAATTGCAACCCAGACGAGTCGGTTTGCGATTCTGAGCGAAGGGTTGCGTACGTGGGAGTAAATTAACTACTTGCGAGAGAAAGTCCATTCCATTCGTTCCTGGAAAAGAAAACGCAAGGGAGCTGTGTTATGTCATGAGAGGCGACTGAGGGGAAGAAGGAAATAAGTTTTTCAATTTATTTCTTTTGACATTTCTCTTATTCTGTGATTAATCCTAGGAATATTATGTTACATTAAAGGGAGATAGAAGAAGGAATTGAAAAAAGTGAATAAAATTTTAAGATCAAATCAGTAGATTTTTTTCATTTTTATCGACTGAAAAGAGTAAGTGAATTTAATTGTTCTTTTACATACAATTATTAATATTTTATTTCTCTAATTAGTGACATAACAAGTGATTAATAAATAAAAATGAGAAATCTGGTGGGAAGTGATTAATAAATAAAAATGAGAAATCTGGTGGGACGTGTCTTGATTCAAAGAGAAAGGGAAGAAGACTTATCGAGCTAATTAGAATTGTATAAGATTTTCAATAGATGTTGTAATCATATTAATAAATAATTTAATGTTATCATTAGCAATGGTTAAGACAAATTAAAAGCATTTTGCAGTTGAGAATTGGTTAACCCAATATAAGAAGATGACAACTGAAATGATCTAAAATAAAGGAGATTGGAGGTAAGAATTTATTAAAGCAATATTTATATGAGTAAAAATTTATAAGATGATAATAGTTAGATGTTTGTGTATGTCTAAGGTTTTATTGCGGAAAGTTATTTCCACGGATCGAGGATTTGAAAGAATCAAAATGGATAATTACAGTTTTGTTTAAAAAATTCTTATTGTATTTCCATTACAATTCTGAATGCAATATTTTATAAAATTGTTTTAACTTACTTTTTAAAACTATTATGAGACAAACAATGTAAATTCAATTTCATACATGGTAGTAAATTGGATAAATATAGATTGTTATGACTATATATATTGATTACCTTAAGAACATGAAAGAATATGAAGGTATATAGAATTGATGATATAGGAGGTATATGAAAATGATAATATATGATACTTATATACATATAAGAAGCATAAATGAATGAATGTGATAAATGAAAAAAGGAAAATGATATACATGCAAATTACAGGAGTCGCCCTCATATGGTATTGGATGGGGAAGCAACGTACCCGAGCACATTAAGTAAAAATGAAAAAGGAAATAGAAATGATTGTACCTTTATTGATACATTTAGACGGTGTTCTTATACAAATTGAATTGGAAAATGAATACATGCTAAATTTTATGAAATGCATTGTATATGAAATGTATAAAGGAATGAATTAATGAAATGAAAAATGAGATGCATATACTAAAAGTTATAAGACTGTTTATACAAGTTTTAATATTGTATATAAAATGAAAAAAATAATATACATTTTATTTTGACATGTTTAATTGTTATACATATAGAAAGATTACCGACGGAGTTTACATGATAAACTCAATCTATTAAACTAATATTTCCAGATAAGTCTTCAAAAAAATAGAAAAGGCTAAAAGAGAAGAGAAATACATCTACAGAAGACGGCGCACAAATACGAACATATAAAATATGATTGATATAATTATTTTACTTTGAAAAGTGGTATCAATAGTTATGGAAATTTTGTATTAGTGGCTGTGGCTCTTATACAAATTGAATTGGAAAATGAATACATGCTAAATTTTATGAAATGCATTGTATATGAAATGTATAAAGGAATGAATTAATGAAATGAAAAATGAGATGCATATACTAAAAGTTATAAGACTGTTTATACAAGTTTTAATATTGTATATAAAATGAAAAAAATAATATGCATTTTATTTTGACATGTTTAATTGTTATACATATAGAAAGATTACCGACGGAGTTTACATGATAAACTCAATCTATTAAACTAATATTTCCAGATAAGTCTTCAAAAAAATAGAAAAGGCTAAAAGAGAAGAGAAATACATCTACAGAAGACGGCGCACAAATACGAACATATAAAATATGATTGATATAATTGTTTTACTTTGAAAAGTGGTATCAATAGTTATGAAAATTTTGTATTAGTGGCTGTGGCTCTTTAGATTTTTGAAAAGTATGTTAATTTGCTTATGTAATTTACTAAAATGTTACAACTGTCCGACTGTCAATACCCACCTCATTAGTTCGAGTCTACGGGTCGGGTTGTGACAAAAGTTGCATCACAGCACATTAAGATATGATTCATATTGAGAGAGACATTAGGGTGATTATTGATGATTTAAGATTAAGATACAAATTTGTCAAATAAAATATCTTATTTTATAACAAGAACCAAAATGATTTTGAACAAGATGTGGAAGTGGAAAGGACAGCGCCTAATATTGTTGTTAATCCTGAAGCACTAACCTAAATGATGACAACAATAACATAACTAACTCAGGACTCAAGGAATCAACCATCAAGTAGTGGTGGTAGTGGTATGACTATGGATAAGTACTTAAAGATGTTTTAGAATATGAGACCACCCTTATTTAAGAGAGTAGAAGAACCAATTGAGGCAGAGAATTGGTTGTTGATGATTGAGAAGATTTTAGAAGGAATGTTCTGTCCATAAGAAAGAAAAGTTACATTAGCAACTTTTATATGGTGAGGCTGAAAGGTGGTGGAGAGGTCAGCATTGTTGACCTCTGAACAATAACCAAAGGGAAAAAGAGAAAAAAAGGGCAACGTAGAAATCCTACAGCACATACCCGACGGATCCCAGAATTCTGTCGAAATCCTCCGCAAAACACGCCTGAAATCCCGTCAAAATCCCTGTGCATTCGACGCCGTTAGCGTCTCCTCGCGGGATTCCCATATGAAGCTCCTCGTTCGTTGTTCTCCTAGGCCTTTAAAAGCAACCGAAACCCCTCCTCTTCGGCTGCTCACGATCTCTGCTTCTCACTCACCTCTTCCATTTGCAAACCTCCCGACCTCCTGCTCCTCCCATCCCTGTCCTATTCGCAACGCATCGGCAGAGAGAGAGAGAGAGAGAGAGAGAGAGAGAGAGAGAGAGATACTAAAGCCGGTAAAAAAAATTCCAAACCTATTGCTGCTATTATATGCCAGATAACACGTATCTCTACGTATCTGATTGACTACTAGCCTTAATCGAAAGTTCTCTCTCGTGATCGGGAGGGGTAATTAACTATAGGGGCTTGCGCCTATAGGAAACCAGAACTCAGATCATAAAGTCCTCACAAAATGAGGGCGAAATCTCTGGGTAGTGTCTTATCTACAAACCCATCTGCCTTCCAAAATTTACCTCAGAACTTATTCAATTAAAACTCCCTCGTCGAATAAAAAGAAAAGCGCGAGCGGAGGCCGGGGCCGAATTTTCGGAGCCCACGAGCATCAAGCCAAATTTGGAGGAATACCTAACATGCATATCAAGTGGGATGACTTTACTCAAGTGTTCAAATACTGGTTTTTGCCTCTTTCTACAAGGCATGTTTTAAAATTGCGCAATAAAAGGCGCACCTTGAGGCACGCCTCAGCACAACGTGGTCCCTTTAAGCCTCAAAGCCTATGCAATAAGTTAAGGTTTTGAGGCGTAAGCCTCAAGTTTAATGAGACGCGCCCCTCACATTTTTTAGGCGCCGCCTCTAATAAAATTAACCTATTTTTTTTTCAGTTCGGACCCCTAATTGCCGACGTGGAGTCCTGTCGCCTAGTGAGATGTCGACGTGGCATCAACATTTAAACCTTGGTAAAAGTCGAATGTCAAACGCTGCGTTACGGTTTTCAAGTTCCAGCAAACGTTCCAACTTTCAAGCATTCACTCCGGAGCAATTCCAAGCGTTCCCTTCGTTCCTTCTTAGATGTCGTCACCCACAAAGAAAAAGGTAATTTGCTACCATGATTTCTGTTTAGTTCAACGTATTTTATGGTTATGCTATGTATAGGTGTTTAAGGTTTTGATGTTCTTCATTTTTTTATGCTTACGCTATGCGTATGCGATGCTTCTCGAAACTTTTTAAATGTTTGATACTTTAATTCCATCGGGTTTTCTCTGTATTTAAGGTTTATGAATTTATGTTGAAATTTGAAACATAAGCTTTAACTAAATTTTAAGCACCGAGCACTCTATGTGTATGTTGTGCATACTCTACACGTATGTTGTGCGTACTATATGCTTATGTTATGCGTATACTGTGCGTGATAATTGCTTATATTGTGCGTACATACTGCATGCGTGCGTACTTTATGCGTGAGTATAATTTGCTACCATATTTTCTGAAATGTGCGTTCTTGTGCATATGTTGTGAGTACTCTATGCATACGTTGTGTGTGATCTTTGCTTATGTTATGCATATTTTATGCTTATGTTGTGCGTTTTTTGTGTGTATTTTATTTACTTATTCTATATATTTTTTTTTTAAATTTTCAGATACATGTTCGTCTAATTATCTATCGATGCTATGTTTCTACTTTTTGATCAATCTGTGATAACTTTGCTCAGCAAATTTCTCCTGAAGTCGTGGACAGATTGAAACGTTTAAAGATCATACAGTTTTTGCAATTTCTTGGGTTTTAGCAAAATGTCCCTCTTATTTATGAGCTGATATCAAGGTGGAACATTTCAAAGCAATAATTTGTTCTAAAAG